CCCCTTCTCTCTCTCTCTCTCTCTCTCTCTCTCTTCCCTGTGCGCAGGCTGCTGGTAATGCCCCTTTCTTTCTCGTTGCCCCCTTCTCTTTGTTTCTCTACTTTTTCCCTCCCTTCAATACGCCGCAGGAACGATAAGCGCGATAACCGCGAGAGCAACAACTTCCACTCGCGGACCACAGTGACGTGGCGGCGACATGGGCGCTGCGCTAGGCTGCGAGCGCAGTACAGCGAGTTGGAAGCGAAGCGAGGCAGGAGGCAGGCACAGGTGCCCCGATGTGGAAGGAACGGCTGCGATAGAGAGCGAGAGCGAGAAGGAGGGGCCAGGGGCCTCGAAGAAGAAAACGTATTGGCGCCACAAGCGCCCCGCGCGCGACGCGGCCGCGCCCGCTGAGTGGCGGGGCGGCTGCCGGACAGACCGAGCTGGCGTCGAGGGCCGATAATATAGTCAACTCACTCGTCTTCCCTCACTCCTTGGGCCGCGCTGGACTGACGCTGACGGGCCGCCGCGCCAGCCTCACCCGCCGCGCCTCCCGGACCACCACCACGACGACGACACCGTCGCCGCCGACCTCGACGAGCTCCTGCTGTTGACCGCGCCCCGCCTCCGCGCCAGCCTCAGCGGTGCAGCACAGCTGCCATGGCGTAAGTGGCCAGGGAATTCCCTGACGAACCAAATACAAGCCAGAATAATATGGTGGCATGGCATGGTACAAGGTTTCTCTTTCGTTTCCAGAAAATACTTTAGAAAATTTTTAATTTTGGCGGTTGTGGGTTTTGGCATCGCACATGCTGCATGAGTTAAAACGACTAAAGACATGCTCCTTATTTCAGGACTCTGCTGTTCCTCGTCCTCGCGCTCGCCTGCGCCGCCCGGACTAGTCACGGGTGAGTTTCACTTTCTTTCGTGTGATAGCCACCTCGGTGTGGTTGGCACTTCCCCGCCCCCGTTCATCTATTATTTTTTTTTCGCGTGCCATTCATCGAATCACAGCTGCTAAACGTGCTTTCCCTCGCCGCCGCCGCCCTTCCCCCTCCCCTCCTCCTCCACTTCGGAGACGTCCCCAGGCGCAGCACGGCGCCCTTTCGGACGCGGACGCGCCGCTACTCCCTCCACTCGGTGGTCCCGCGCTATTTATGCCGTGGC